CGGAAGGTACCCCTACAAACTGCCGTCAAAAATGACACACTCAAGACAGCCCGACGCACACAATTTCAACTTATCATTCTCGCGACCGCGACAAATCGTGTTTGCACCCGAGATATGCTTGTGCGTCTGTCGGGTTAGGGATAGATCGAGGGAGGTACGGCCGATAACATTATCTTGCCGGGTTCGGGTCTGCCTCGAGCCGCCCGCAGCCAATTCATCATTCAGGCAGGCCATATCCGCCCCGGCCCGGATGACGGGAGATAGAGCCCCATCTTTTCAATGGAACAGTCAGCTTCCATCATTCTTCCGAACGGTTTCCTTTTCCAGCAGTTCGTCTGAGCAAGACGGACCGACGGGATAAGTGAGGAAAGTCAGCAACAACCCGTCGCTTAACGAACACCGCCCCGCCGCAGTAATCTTTAATCTCTCTGTACTTCCCCAATCTGACTCAACTCCGGCCCGCTGCTTGTCAGTTGAACGGAACAATCCTGTTTTCCTCTCTCGCTACGTTATCTGCAAGTACATAGTCGCCGATACGCAGTTGCCGATTACAGGCAGCCCTAAGATACCGCGACGGGATCGGAGGCGGGCGGTTCGGAAAAGGGGAGGTCTATCGGAAGGTGAGGTGTGAGGTGTACACTACACTAGAGGGTAGGTGAGGTGGTCATCGGCGTGTTGTCGTTGTTACAGTGTAATTCGTTCCCTTGTAGGGCTGCGCCCTCCTCGCCCTATCCTCACCTGCATGCAAACTTTCGGCGCCCTTTCCCGCGCGCACACCGCAACAACAACGCACACACACAAACCACACCACACCACACACACCATGCGCGCGCGCACATGGCAAGGCGGTCCCGATACGGTTCCGAGGTGTTGCGCTGGCCTTTTTTTCCTGCCGACACCACACCACACCACACCCTACCCTACCTACCCACCGTCACGAAAACGGAGGGAGGGCCAAAGGTTAGGCAGCCTCCCAGGCGAGGTCAGGTTTCCTCAAATTGTAGTGGTTGGCTACCTATCCGACCTCAGGTAGTGAGTAACTGTCGGTCAGGTAAAGGTCAGGCAGGCAGGCAGCACACTTTTTTTTGTTACCCCCCCCTCCTCTAGAGCAGAGAGTACGGGATATGATGATGCCACGAGATCGCGGGGTGAAATGGGTGTGTGGGTGGGTTTGAGAAAAGAGTCATCGGCGTCGAAAATAAAGTTCTGGCCCTTTTTTGTTACTGCACGTCTTGGGTAGACGGGTTAATTATTTCGGTGGTTTTTCTTTTCTTTTCTTGCCCTCCCACTCTTTTTTTTGTGACCTTGACAGGGTTGGATCGCAGCGCATGTCGCGCATGATCAGAATTCCCAGACAGCCGTGGTGTAGCAGCGGCTGGCTTCATTTACAATGTACCGTCTCCGTCTGTCGCAAAATCTAAACCTTGAATCATCTGTACACACATACACAGCACACACAGCACACATGATGAGACTGTGAGAGCCCAACGTGAGGGGTCACAGTGACGTTGCATATGCCACGGCGATTCATGTCGTCAGGTCGTCATGGATAGTTACCTGCCCCTCCATTTCTCTTCGTCAGGTGCTGTTGCCGCTGCAACGACTGCAACTGCTGCTGCTGCGACTGTTGTTGTTATTGTTACTATCTGTTGTTAATGAAGGACCCCCACCATTAATTTTTCGGCGGTTTGCGAGGATTACGGTGAGGTGAAGGAGGGGTTCATTCGATGGGAAGCGCGCGCAAAAAGGAGGGGCGCATGGGCTAAGGCCTGACGGGACCGGGTTGATGAGTTGGTCAGCGCCGTTTGGCGGGGTGAGTTCGGCGGGTAGCGCGTGGTCCCGTGGTAGTTGCTGCGATGGTGGTGGTGTTGTTGTTGCAAAGTTCATGTTTGCCCGATGGTGCCGATGGTGTGCTCCGGTCGGCGGTTGCACTTTGCTGATTGATGGTTCAGATGGTGGTGGTGGTGTTGGTGATGGTGTTGTGTTTGGTGGTGTTTGGGTGTCTTAGCTCGGCGGGAAAACAAGCGCTGGCCCCTGAAACAGCACCTCCTGACGGCGTGCTTGTTCCCAACTTGCTCTGGCTGTGCGCATGCTATTTTTGAGCAACCGCCGTAAACCAACAGCACGACGGCGCTTGCGCCTCTGCGTTCATGCCTACCTGCCCGAACACATACGCAGTAAACGCTTTCGGAAGCACGTTGGCGGCCTGGAATTTTGGTAAACGGGAACGTGGTACTGCTGCGGTTGCTTCTAATGTTGTGGCTTTGTGTTTCATGTTGTCGTCATTGACATCGTGGTGCTGTTCAAGGAGTGCCAGAATCTTGGTTTTCCTCGTTTCTTGCAGGTCCGTTTTCCCGCCCAATGCTGACAACCCCGATCCAGACCTGTCTTATCAGACGCACCTCCGCCGGTGTCGGTCTCGGAGGCCGAAAAAGTGACAGGAAATCAATGAACGGGACACAACAGAAGAAAATCGACCGACGAAAACGTGAGAAAACAACCAAATCAAGAAATGGCTTCTTGACCCAGACCAAACCCGGTTTGCGCCGCGGACGAACGAGTTTGCGCCGCGGAGGGACGATTCAGTTTAGTTAGTTTTGTGCGTTGGTGACATGTTCGTCGGTCAATTTTATTATTTTGTGAGCCCGAGAAGCAAACCGAACAAACTGAACCAACAAACCAAGCTCCTAAGGTGACCAAACGGTCAAACGATTTTCACCATCGCGGCTGTTTCCATAACTTACCGGACACGCAGCACAGTTCCCGGACCCAGTTTGTTTGCGGAGGAAACCGTGGTTGATGGCCGAGTTGAGGGAGAAAAGCAAGCAAGCAGCCGAAACCATCACAGCTGAAGGGGCAAAATGATATGTACTGTATGTGTAAGTTACACTGTAACTACTGCATCCGTACCGAGATACCCTGATACACTGAGTCAGGACTTATTCATTCCGGGGCGAAACAAGCAAAAAGCTGTCGCGGTCCGGAAAGAGATACTGTGGCGGTCTCGAAATCAGTTCGCGCTGTGTTGTGTTGTTTCTTTCGTTGTCCACCTTGCCTGTTTCATCTCGCACCCATTCGTCTGGGACGGTGAGGCCAGCTGGGCTTCCTGGGCCAAATTCATGGGGTAACAGGGGGGTTAAGGGTCATGGTTTTTGGGCTTTGATCTTCCGGGGAGCGAGCCCGGGGAAAGCGGCGGGCCGGGGGACAAAATGGGCAAAAAGTTGAGACGGTCTGGGGACCTCCCTTGTTTCTTTGGCTCTGGCTGGCGGAGACCAGATCCGGAGCAAGGGGTGGGCCTGTTGATGTGCTTGGTGGCTTTTTGTTCGTTGTGTGTTCTGTTTCTTTTTCCCACCGACACGGATCCGAAAGCACAACACACCCAGGCACGCTCGGCGACGCCCAGGGCCACACCCCACGCCCACCGTTTTTCGCCGAACACACGAAAACGGTGGGAACCTGGAATGGGAGTGACGAGAAACAAGTCCCCAGATCAGACACCGGGCCCCCGTGGAGGAGATGATGATGATGCCAGCGAACCTGGGGCGTGGGCGTTTGATGAGAGCTTCCCTTTCGTGCCTTTCTCTCTCCCCCACAAAGCTCAGCCCCCGGATTCGAGAGGCGCGGGTACGGAGTACTTGATTACACGGAGAATGCTGACTCCCTCGGCGGCTTTTTTTGGGGCCGTTTGGGGGGCAATGGCGGCGTTGGCCGGTGCGATAGGCTTCCACCGATGGTACCAGCACGCCAATACGCTGCCTGTACTCCCCCAAGCCCAACATCGGAAGCCGACGCCCAAAGCCGCGATTTGAAATCCAGGACACCTGCACGAAGAGAGGCAAAAGAGAGGCGGTGATAAGAAGTCGCTTCTCTCCCAGGTAGGTTACAATGCCATATCAGCGCGCGTCCGTCGTTTCCGTGCCGTGTGGATGGACGATGAGTCGGTGCGAATGGAATCAATGCGAGGCCGGGACAGGAAAAAAAAAAGGTCAGGAGCGGTCTGACACCGCAAGTTCCTTTCGTTTTCCGAAACGAACGCCTTGACGAGTCAAAATGCGAGCTACGAGGGGTTGCGGTGAGCAGTGCAGTTGTTCGGTGTTTGTCCTGTGTGCAAGCGGGCAAGCGTGGGGGGTTGCCCGGTACCAATCCGAGCCATTAGAATTCGAGCTTCAAGGGCAGACGAGGGGTCAAAGTTGGGCGTGTTGCTGGTATCCGTATGGGTTCATCTATTCGTTGGACGAGCTCGTTTTCTTTTTTTCTGGTCTGTTTTCCCTTTGTGCGGTCAGAAAGCCACGATCGCAATGGCATCCCGTCTTATCCTACGAGCGCGACCTGACGGCCAGCAGCAGCAGCGTCCGAGGGCGAAAGTACCCTGTGACGGGAAGTGATGGCGGGAGTTGTGACCCCGACGGTGACGGTGACGGGAAGACGGGAGCGCTTGAAGCTGAATGGGGGAGCTCTGCGCACGCCGCATTCCGCCTCCCCCGTGTTGTCAGGGGGTGCCTGGGGGGGCCGTTTTGATCTTTGGGCGTTTGGGGCTTTTTGGACGTTTTGGGGGTGTGGCCGTCCCCCGGAACACGCCCCACCCCACACCCCCCATGCCGCACCTTCCCATGCTTTTCAAAGACCCTTGACCGACCCGGGCCACGCCCCCCGTCCACGCACACCCCCAAAAGTCACCGTTTTGACCCCCTCGGCATTCACCATTTAATATGCCCCACGCAATCCTGTTTCCTGGGACTGCTCACCCTTGCCCTCCCAACTCAGCACCCCACGATCTCGAGGCATATAACAAGAGGACCCTCCCGTCCCATCTCGTCTTGACTCGCACACCATCATAGCAACAGCATCACGCAACAACATCATCGTCGTCGACTTCGTCTTCGCTCTTCACCAACACTCTCGACTATCAGCAGGCAACCACCAGCATCCAGCTTGGCCTCGACCTCTCTATCAACACACACACAACACATCACTACCAACTCTAGCATACTACAGCAATCATGTGGGGGTGGGGATCATACGGCTCTCTGAGCTCCTCGTGTAGCTCGACCGACTCCAGCAGCTCTCTCGACATCTCTTCGCCCATGGACATCGCGCCACGATCGTCGTCTTCAAGGCGTGGCCCCGACCCGGAGTGCGCCTACCCATCCTGGCCGCGGCGGTCATCGCTCGGCGAGGGCGAGTCCGAGGAGCGCGCGACGTCTTACATTACCGACGACGAGCTCTTCATGGACGTCTTCGACAGCGACGACTGCAGCGACTCCAGCAGCGGCGCCGCTTCCCCGGTACACTCTCCCGTGGGCGCCCCTCCGGCCCTGACCGAGGCCGAGTTCCTCCAGCTCCAGCGCGAACAGCTCGCCTACCAGCGCGAGATGCGCCGCATTCTCGTCGCCGAGAAGGAGATGCGCCGCCGCCAGGCGGAGCAGGACCAGCAGCAACGCCGGCGTCCCGGTCTCAAGCGTCGCACTTCCTCCGGCAAGAAGGTGCCCAAGGTCAAGGTGGCGGCTATGACTACCATCACCGAGGCTGAGTGAGCAGAGCGTTGCACCCGAGTGGCCCTATCCTGGCTATCTCAGTCATCATCATACGCACTCCTTCACATGCCGAGCCCCAGTGTGGGCAAACCAGATATGATACGCCCTGGCTTATCGGTAAGTCAAACCTGCATTTTCTCTCTTTTTCCCTTTCGCATGTGCGACCGATAAAGTCGGCAGTGCATTACCCGATGTTTGCCGAGCACGGGCCAATTAGGGAAGGTCGACTAACACATGTCCACAGAAACGCAACACATTCATCAGCAATCATTCCAGCCTGGTCGTTGAGTCATCGGCTCGGCTATTTCGTCATTCCATTTCTCCATCAACAAACCGTTGAGGGAGTGGGCATCGGATTGCCTGTTTTTTCCGGGGGCACATGTTTTCCCCGGACGACCGCGATCCTATTCTGCCTGTCTCGGACCTTGGTTCGGACGCGGCCTTCGCCCCGGAAACCCTCAAAAATCCGGGTTTCGGGTGGCCCTTGCAACACCAAGTGTTTCTTCATTGTTCCTCGATATTCCTGTCGCTTGGCCGGTCAGAGTGCTCGGACGCGCACCGACCGAGAGCCAGCTTGATGGGGAAAAGGGATCAATGAAGGCACTAGAATGCAAGGGTTACAAGTCGGCCCGCGCACCGGCCCTTTCATCCGAACGCACACACCCCTCAAAAACCAGACCTCGACAACCAAAAACTCATTCACCGCCCTTCCACATTCCGAGGGAACGTGCAGCCGCGGCGATTTGCCGGTCGCACACTACTCCCGCCAATTGGGGAATACCCCGGGGTCGATCGGTGTCCCCGGCGGCGGACCGACAGCGAACTAAATCCTTCCCCACGCCTGGCTTGCCTGCCCGTTTGGGGAAGTCGATTTCGATCGCGCCCTCATATTTTTTTCCCTTTTGGGACATCTTTTGCTTCGTCCTTCATCACTTGTTATCTTTTCTTTTAATGGTTAATAACAACAACAAGCGGTGGATACACCGGCCCAGCGGGATCGGGCTTTACTTTCTCCTAATTCTCTTAATTATTTTTTTATTATCTTGTTTTATTTTTTTTCCTTTATCACTGCAATGTCTTTTTAAGCCAAGCGATATCATCTGAGCATTTTCGGGAACTGGGAGCGGGGTTTGCAATAACATATCATGGCGGTCAACAAAAGAGTCTGGGGTTCATGGGGAGGGGGTTTACAGCATTTGGATTTCATTCAGTGCACACTGAAGTACAACAGCAGCGCATCGGGCATTCGGAGTTTTTGTCTTTTTTTTGGCTTTTTGCAATTTTTTTTTAGACATTTTGGATACCCCTACCTTTTTTGTACCGCGTGGTTATTGATACCCCAAGAAATTTTGTATTTGGTTTGAGTGGTGGTGCTCAGGGCTTGGAACCCGAGGGTTAGATAGCATATTAGATAGTCAACATTGATGGTTCCCATCATCGAATCTTTCTGTTCCCTCGCCTATTTCAAGTGACATGCATCCACCCATCGATTACCCGCATCCCCCGGATTTACTTTGTGCCCTGCCTCGAGGGCAATCCGACAGAAAAGCCCCGAAAATAACCGTGTTAACAACGGAACTTTTTACGTGACGTTACGTTAGCACGCACCGTTGCGCACCTTATTATTTTTGTTCTTCCTTCCAGGTTTGCTTTGCAACGGCTGTTGGCCGCCGGCCCGCGGCCCGCGGTCCGCTTCCTTCGGAGTTGACAGGTTTGGCGGTCAGCATCCAAGTCCAAGTTTATCCGCGCCTGGGCTGGCTGGGCTGGCTGCGTCCGGTTTGTGAGTTCGGCACTGCCGAGTTTATTTTGAAAACGCGATTCATTCATCATTCATCCGTGCGCTCCGAGCCAAGGTTAGGCAGGGCTAGTCCATCTGTCCGTCCGTTCGTGGCGCTTGGTGCGGTTGTGCAGAGGAAGAAGACAAGTCTCCAGATTTACGCTTTGCTCCCCTCCGAAGTCGCTTAGGCACCTTAAGTTGGCACCGCCAAAATGCGCACCTATCGCGGGTAAGGAAGGTATGCTCGATTTGAAATCGTCAACGGCGGTGACAGACAGATACCGATGTCGAGTCATTTCCGGACAGACAGACAAACAGGCGTACATGCAGGGTCCCCAAATAACCCAACCCACCCAGCCAGCTCAACTTAACGCACTTCAACCCAACCTCATGTATGTACTATGGCATGTACATGTACTCTGGGTAGGAAAGTCTGCAATCGCTTCGATATCGGCTATCAAAGGCCCGAATGCCCGACCCCCCGATACCTCCCCGATTACCCCTCCGATTACACACACCACACGGTCGCTCGATAGGCTGATAAGCAACCCGTGCAGTGCGGCGAAGCTCGGAGGTGGAAGAGGTGCGAGGTTCGAGGTGCGAAAGGTGAGATAAGGTAAGCGGGGGACTTGGAGGGGTAATAGCTCGGACAGAGAGAGAGAGAGGGGGAGGCCAGGCTCCGATTTACGGGATGGTATCATTTTTGCATGTTGTTGAGCAGCAGAGCACACGTTTGGGGTTTGTGGTTGTTGTCACGTCACGTCATTCATGTCACGTCTACGAAGTACTGAGGTATGCCTGCTGGCCGTGCTGGCCATGCTAGCCAAACGATGTTGCACGCACGCACACGAACGTGAGAGCGGGGAGGGAGGGGAGCGTTCAGTGAGATCTTTACATAGTACTTACGACAATAGCCGGGTGGGAACGGAGCGTATTTCGACCTGTGCCATTTGGAAGTGAATTACCGCGATACGCGCCCAAAACATCGGCGTAATACGCGACTCCGATGTGATACGATACAATCCGATCCCGATGCCATGCGCTGCACAGCGCGGGATAAGGTTGGGTAGAGACGGGAGCGGGTAGGGTATTATCGTCCACTCGGGTTGCAGGTGAAATGCACATGGGGTCGGGTCGGGTCGGTAGGTAGAGTTGATGCGATGCGATGCGGCTCCGATACGCTGCCCGGGAAGCGAGGCGATCGATTTCTTCACCTTTTATTTTTTTGGGTTGACCCGTGATACGAGCTGGGTATTCTCACTCTTTGCGTTATGTAGCTGGCATGTGTGGTGTTCGCGGCGCCGGTGTTAGTGCCGCTGCTGGTGGTGTTGATGCAGCATACAATGCATACAAGACACCCGAAACGGAGCCGACCGGTTAGACATACAGATGTCACGATTTGTGTCAACGGTGCAGACTATGCAGCCAGCCTATGCGTGCAAGTTCTCCAGTCTTGCCCTTAGCTTGTTTCGTTCTCTTTTTTTTTACGACAAAGTCCCGTTTAGCGTGCAGAAAGTCGGTGATCATGCCGCGATCAGAGTGATATCGCACACCCGGTGCGTTTCGGGACGGTGAGCCACTGCAGTAGCTCAAGTTTTGGCCCGCAGTGGTCCGGGAGGGGAAAGATAAAAAGTTTACGCGAAAAATGGCAGGGTTTGATCCGGTCGGGGTCGGGAGGTTTTGATTTGAGGTTTTGAGGTTTTGGAGGTGAGTGAGGGAGGGGGTAAGAGGAAAGTTTGGAACTTTGGAAGCTGAGTGAGCCGTTTCAAGCATCGACGCTAGCCGGGGCGGGCCGGTCAAGGTCCGAGCTGCATCGCGAGATAAGATCATGATGGGAAGCTTACCTACTTTCCGGAGATGCAGTGGTTCAAGAGATAATCTACGGTCCTTGGTGGCGTCTGGCTTACAATGCGCCGGACTCCGACGGGCCTGTCTGCGCGCCCTCCGCTCCGTTCTTTGGTCAAAGCTAGCCGGGGAGGAAGTTTGGTCGCTGGTCGGAGGGTTCTTTCGAACAACAGGGTGCCTAAGGATGGGGCTTATACATCGCATTTCGGCCTTAGTCGGGGTGAGACGATCTCGTTTCTTATTTTCGCTTTACGAGTGGTCGGGGCCTACACAGTAAGTCTTGCCACGATGCGTATCGAAGTGGGTGTTTACATGTGAGACGGAGGAAAACGGAGGAGTTATTCATAGAATGCACGGTTCAAAGGTGACTCCGGAGGGTTGATTCCGAATACTCAGACGCAGGTTTTGTGTCCCCTTTGACTGGATTACACAGAGATTCGGACCGCCGACTCTTCCGGACTGACACCGGGGCGAGTACCCGCCCCGAGACAGCTGTGTCGGGAATAGTATCCCCTTGTTCTGCTTTGCATTCCTTAGTTTCTCTTGGTTGACAAGACAAAATGTGAGAACGCTTGGAGATGTAAGAAGCATCGGATGGGCAAACACGAGAAGAGAGTTGACGAGACCCGTGGATGTCACGGAATCTCCCTTGTTTGCATCGATATCCCGACTCTCTAACGGCTCAATAAGCTCACACCCTTGGCCCTATCACAATATCTCTGCGCACCAACCGCTCGATCGAAGCCCATACCCGCAAGGAGATTACCTTGACGGTCAAAGGACGAGCAAGCAACATCCGAAAATCCCATATCATCTTGTCAAATCGTCCACATCCGACACAGTTGACTCGGAAAGCTTGAGTCTATCCGACAACTCGGATCGTCAAGATGTGGTCTCAGAACGCCATCGTTCCACGATAACCCGGCCCGTCGACGCCGAGTTAAAACGGAGACAGCGAGTCGACGGGTGTTTGTGGCGCTGAGTAGCTAGATCTTGTTTGCGGGATCTTGCAGCTTTGAGATGGTGGCGTTTACTGCGACAGCTGAGATGGTACCACAGGAATCGTGGGGTTCAGTTAGAGAGTGAGGAGGCTGAGGCCGTTTCCGAGGGCTCTAGTGGCCGTGGATATGATAGTACTACTCCCCAACGCCACTGTTTCGTCAACCGGTGGCACTGTCGGGAGTGTTCTCATGAATGCCTGGGGTAGATACCCCATATGGTGAGAAACGTAGGACTTGTTCGTCCCCTGACTACCGCTTTGTTATACAACGCGGCTACGGGGTAATTAGTACCATAGTGCCCGCCAGCTATCTAGCCACATGCGCCAGTATCGTTGTCTTCATCTCATCAGATGCTTGCTGAGCCGTCGTCCGTCCCT